GAAGAGAAAGACGAAGAGAAAGACGAAGAAAGAAACTGAAACAAGAGGTACACAGATAAAGTATGAAGACTACATTGAAAAATAAAGAAAGCTGTACTGGTAATTTTTTTTCTTTGTAAGAAATAAGAATGTTGTAATAATGCCCTAATTAGTGAACTATTAGAGTACCATTTGGGAGCAGGTCTCTGAAAGGCTGTTTCAGCCTTCCAAAATGTGAGTACCTTCTAAGGGTGAAAAATAACTGAAACTGGAAAGACACATTGGACCAATTCACTCTCAAAATTCTCACGCTCCTTTCACTTCTGTATTTAAATTAAAATTTTACATTCTCCAGCTGACCATTGTTTGTATTAATATATCCTACTCTTTCGCACTGTGCATATAGAAGTTCAACAAATACTTATGGAATCTTCAAATATATCTGGAGACATCTATTGCAAATGTATTTATTTTAAGCAAACTGCAAGCCTAATTAATTAATATTACACTGGCTTCTCTCATACATTTCAGTGTGTTGAGAACGCTTTAAATGTAAACTGTGTATTTAAACTGTCTGTTGTGCTATTTTAAACCCACAAACAACTTAGATGTGGACCATTGTTTCAAACTTAGTTTTGAACTTAGCCATGTTTTTAAATATCAACTGCATACTACTGTAAAAAAACCAATTCATTCAAAAAACAGGCTGGTGAATAATATTATAACATTTGTTAAGACAAGGAAACAGTGAAACCAACATAATTCCCTCTTATTATTCCACTACTAGCTGCGCAGCATCGCTAACAACTTCAGGAGCTTGTTGCACCGCCTTCTTCCTCAACTTTATACTGTAGGCACGCTTCTGGTTCTAGTGATTATAGCTGATGTTTCAACAACGACAGCTAAAAAAAAGTCAAAAGGAAGAGAATGTTTAGTCCTAAGTGGACCTGTTCTTCCACAACTTACAAAGGAAAGACAGTACCGTAATGAGACAATGTATACAGATAGTTTTTCCTCTATCATAAAACCAACAACTAATGCATGAAACTACCTCTATCACATTACTTGAGATGCTCAGTCACTTGAGATTTTTCCTGACAAAGGAAGATGTTCCCAAAGCTGTAGCAGCTGCTCTCCAACTTGTGGTTCCAGCTCCTAGAAACGAGCAGGATATTATAGAAATTATTTGCACTGCTACTATTGAACATATAGAACCAATTTATAATACAACTGTTAGATAAAGTTACTGGTGGCTGCTCTGCATCTTTCTGGAAGAGCTCATCCCTTTTGCTATGAAGACACACATTAGAATTACCTGCACAGGAAGGTTTTATTTGCTAAGGCTCAAGAGGAGATAAAAACTCTCACAAGCAACCATGGGTTGCTACAGGTCGTTTGGGGTCTTTTCATTTACAGTAGGATGTCAGTTCTTAAGAAAATATTCTTATGGTGGTGCTGTGTTCTGAGTGAACACAGTACCACCATATACAAGAACATACGCACCACATACTTTGTACCCTCCACAGGTCATTTAACTTACTAACTACAGATCATTATTTTCCACATCTTTTAAGTTCAATTCAGTCAAGTGTGGTGGAGAATGTGGAAAGGTAGGTTACAGGCAACACAGCAGCTCTTGGTGGAATCATAGACATTAATATATATCAATTGTTTTTAAGATAGTTATGGCTCTTTAGGTCTTAAGAGCCACTTACAACAGAAGCACTGTTAACTCCACCACATGCTATGTTCCTTTCCTTGTTCTTGTAACTGAAGAGGTTTTGGGGAAGTAGCAAGAAGATGATATAAGAAGTTTAGCTCTAGAATCTACTATCAAGGAGATGTTTTGGGAGGGAGCTGGGGAAAAACACAGAACTGCCACAGCGAACTCATGCCAGTTCTCTTCCAGTGTTTTGTAGTTGCCTTCAGGACTAACAGATTAGAGAACTGTCCTAAGCTTCATTCTACCTCAAATCTCAAGATCCTCTTCAGTCTTTACAGGAAACTCAAAGCTATAATTATGACCAGTTATTTGGGTGTGACAGACTATCTTGGAGAACAAATCTGAACCAAACAGTGACCAAATCTAGAGAACCAAAAGAATAATTCCAAAAAGGTTTATTTTTTACAGCACACAGCTTTAAATCTTTTTTAAAGCATATATTTAGCAAGCAACGATTTTGACTTATCAAAAAAGCCTCTATTACTTCAACAGTAATGCTTTAGAAAAATGTACAATGTGCATCACTGAATTCCAATTCAGATTAACAGATACATGAAGACAGCTGAGGTAAATGTCAAGGCTAAACAAGCTAGTAAACAATACACAGTTCTACCAAGTAAAAAAAACTTCAGAAGAGAATAACATTACCTGGCCATCCCTGCTTATTTGTACTTTCTTATTGTCATTCCAAGGGTTGAGCAAATGATGTGCAAACTGAAAAGGAATCCGTTCTTTTTGGATCCACTCCACCTTAAATACACCTCCAAAACCATCAGATCCCCAGTCTTGACTTTTCTCACACCCTATCTCTGAAGCCATTCTAGCAAAACCCTGGAGTAAAATTGAAATATGAAAGACATAATTAGAGCATATCTGCTTACATGAGAATTAAATAAATGACTGGACTTCATACAAACTTTCAAATTAGTTTCAAAGTGACTCACACACTCTCCCCCACAAAGCTGGAGCTTTAAAAATGTTTATATCTAGAAAGTTAAAAGTAGAATCATTTGTTTTTTCACTTCAAATATCCTTTCTAGAGTTTGACCACAGAGAATGTCTCTCAATTTCTCACAACTGCCATCAGAAGTTTTTTTAAGCTGTGTAACAGAGGTTGAAAAGGTGGTGTAAAAACATTTGAAGTTTAAAAGAATTAAGGTGAATGTCCTACTACATAGTAGTCCATTAGATATTACTTGTTAGTTGTAGATATTTTTTCAGAAATCCATTCCTTCCTTCCCATGTTCCCTCTAAGTTAACAAACGTTCACGTAGAACTAAGAGAGTATAGCTGTTCTTCAAAGAAAGGTCAAAGTTGCTTTTGTTTCCTCCTTCAATGAAGTGGAAAGAAATTCCAACAAGACAAATATTCAGAAAGAAAATGCAAGAAATCAAAAATCCAAGATTGTTTCTAACTTATTTAAGAACAACCCTACTTGCCCGCACACCAAACAAAGCAAAACAAGAAAAAAACCACACCACACACCCAACTTATCAACTATTGAGGAAAATTTACGCTAGTTATGTCTTAGGAGTCCAAGAGATGCAGTTGCACCATATAATTTACCAGCACACATTACTCTTGTACGACATGCAGTCCTAGATAGTTCAAGTCAGACTTAAATGGAAATTAATAAAAAGAAGAGAGGAAAAATGATCATATGTATATCTCACCGTAATGCTTCAGTGGTATCACAAAGACAGATGTATTTGGGCTAGTTCATTAGATTTTAAATTTAGCTGACTTCTATGACAGGTTTGTATATAAAGAGGTAAGTTGAACTTTCTTTACCTGCAAAAACTGAGTTTAGCCCCTCTCTACAACACAGCTAACCTGCAACTTTGCAGGTCAAGTATTTAACTTCAAATTAGCTACAAATTTGTCAGCAAACTGTTGACAAATACCTTGCTAAGCTTTCATACCTTTTAGAATAAGTTAGAAATATTAAGTGGTTTCTCCTTTAAGCTGTTGTAGTGTTAAGTACTTTCTTGTTTAAGCTGTTGCCTTAGTCACTGTGTTACTTTGGTTAAGGGGGGGGGCTACACATTGCGAGGGAAATTGGCAGGAACAGATGCTGCATAAGCAAGACCTCTGGGCATGTGGGAGCAAGAGTTCAAGCATAGGGCAAAGTGAAGAAGAGGAGGACATGGGAGGAAAAAGCCTCCAACGACCACCGAAGTCCACCCAAAAGCCCAAGTGTGCATGCGCATTGACTCAGCAACTATGATAATTAAGCCATGAATATGCATGTACTAGGACTATATAAGAAGAGGGCACGAAGCCTTTGCAGCACAGAACTTTCTAGGTGTTGCCTGATGTCGAATAAAGAATGACTGCTTTCTAAAACTCCAAAATGAGTCTTAGTTCTCTTAAACCGGCTTTTGCAGTATCACCACAGCCATTTGCTGTGCTCGCCTAAACCATCCAGCAAAGCTAACATTTAATATTAAGGGCTCACCTGAAAGTGTCCAGACCCTTGAACAGAAAATATTAAGTAAACCATGCTGCTCTCCCAAAAGGCTCTATTGAGTTTTTGTTCATTACTTGGCGTAGTTGACCACATACCCTTCTGTTGAGAAATATCAATGTTTTGCAAGTTGCTACTTTTCATTATAAAGTACCGAACTGGCATATTTGGTCTCGGTGAAGGAGACTTGGAACCCTGGAAAAATTAAATTAAATTACGCTACAATAAAATAAACCAGACTTTGGTTCTGAAGTTTTATACACATGAAGACAGAAATCCCTTGACTGTGTCCCTCCCCACCTCCCCCAGATTCTACAAGAAACACAAAATCTATCAGCTGGTACTGTCTGAATTAGTTTTAAAAGATACTTTACATCTATTTTACATTATGTATTTTTTTATTATTCCAAAATATTAATTCATTCATGAGGGGCACTAAACAAGTATAGCAGAACAGGCCTAAACAGCCTACTGATTAATCACAATTCTTTGAAGCCTGACACACCTTCAGATGACACAAAAGTGATCATTCTAGACTGTGGCCTGAAGCACACTACTCACATTTCCACCTTCAGGAAACATGTTTTCTCCTTTTTACATTGGTTGAATTTAAAAACTGAAAGACTTAAGAGGAATTACTAAATTCTCCAATGAGTCCTTGCCTAGAAGAACAATGAGTTTTCCTCTCCGTGATCTGTTTAATATTGCTGCAGTTTACGCTTCAAGTACACAGGAAGAATTATGCCAATAACCTCATTAAAAATGTGTGCTTTGCTAAAACAACCATCATAAAAAAAAAAGCAGTCATAATAAGGAACTGCATGTACTGTTTATTAATTCAGAAAAAAATTAATAGAACTTCACTTGTTGTTACATTGAGCTTAAAAAAAAATCCAATTTTTTCTACTTTGGATAGCTTTACCTCAGCAGTGTGCAAAAAATAATATTTTTACCATATTAAACTAGCATAACTAGACATTTAGTCTCAATTTTTAGTTCCAAAAAGCAGTAAGTATTATGCATCTGTTAAAAATTAAAATCTAAGTTAGGTTCTTAATTTATCAACATAATACCTGATAGCTACTGAAAGGTATCAGCAAATTTATTTCTGAAATTCTATTAATTTTGAAGCATGGGGTAATTTGTTTACAAAAACTCTACCTTTCCAGATATTGGACAAGAAGGACTAGCACAGGGGCTAGCATAGCTACTGCTGTCTGTAGACTTCACTGATGACTGATCTGACTTGTCATCTGAAGTTCGTCTGGAGTGCAAAATGTTTTTTTCTTTGTAATTCTTTGGCTGGTGAAGTGCGGGAGGTGTAGATTTCATTAAAACTCTAAAAAGTAAAGGTAAATAGAGGATTTACCAAGAGTTTCATAAGTGGTCACAGAGCAATTTATATCTACATATCAGCCTGTTGCATGACTATATATATCACAGCAATTCCAAAATACATTAAACATTAACTAAAAAAATACCAATTATTAATTGTTTCTGAATGCCAAGAGTTAAACCTCTTCTGCTACTTCTTCCCAGAGATCACAATTCATGGACAATATTCCTGACTGCTCTCTCAAACAGCAGGCACACACGTCATATTACTCAATGAAATCCCAACTACAACGCAGCATAGGACATTATAAAGTCTTTCAACAGTATCTCTATTGTTTCCTCCTTTTTATTACTTGCAGAATTTCAAGCAATGCTTTTATAGCTAAATAAATTACAAACTACAGTCTGTAGAAGACCTCAAAAGCTTACTTTTCAGTGCTGGAGGAGTCATCAGAGAATTCAGTTTCTGCTGAGCTTTTTCTACTGTTTGTTGACCTCCATGTATATGCTGAATGAAGGTCTTCAGAAGTCATAGGTCTTGGTCTCTGACCAATTCCTGAGGGCTGCTGCAAACCTGCAGACTGTTCTTCAGCACTTAAAACAACTACAATTGCTTTTACAGTTGCTTCGTCAACTTGACACCACGGTTTAGAAGGAGCTCGCATTCGACGCAAAAATAAGCTATGCCACTTCTGTCTGAGTTGCAACAGCAAACCAGCAGCCTGTAATGAATTTCAATACTGTTAAAAGCTAATAAAAATTACACCAGACAGGTAATGATATCCCACATTTTCCAAGGCAGTATCTGTCATTCTAAAACGAACAGGGTCCAAACTGAAAGACAGACGCCCACATTTAAACTAAGCTGTTATTTTTTCTTTCGTTGGGTGCAAGATCATTTTTAGAACATTTTATTTCATTTAGCTCTGCACCAAGCTTAAAATTATATTGTAAGTCCGCAGGACTTTTTTATTTTTCACTTTAAAATTGTATCTTTTTAAAAAATTAAATCTGTTAATGCTTTATGCCCTTCCTTTCAATTCAGCTGTACTCATGCACACTTCCTTCATACCTGAGGGAAACGAGGTCTAAGTGACACGTTTCCTACACAGACTGCTCAAACAAGATGATTAAATTTAGAAGACTATAGCTGAATTCCCATGTTATCAAAAATGCTTTCATTCCTAAAAAATCAATTTTGAACACCTCTTCAAGAAGTATTCTTATTAGATCTGGTGTTTCACAACCCATTAACTACCACCTACCACACCTAGAGCTTCTCAGTGACCTAAAGATCTCTATCTTCAAAAGTTTATTTTCTTTAGTCTAAAATCTGTTACCAACTTTCTTTCAGCAACTCCAACTTCAGGTGCTCCATTTTAATCCAGCTTTACTCATCCTTTCAGAGAAGGAAATACACAAGATGGTATCATGATTGTTCACTCAACTCCTGCTCAGATTTTGGCTAAACCAGCTGATGCTAAGGCTTGATGTACACTGGGAGCAGTGCCAGGTCAAAGTGAGAGCACCACATAGGCTAGACAGGTGGCCAGAAAGAGCTAAAGGGCCATTATGCAGCCACTATCACCTGCAGCTTGTAGTTTCCTACAGCCATTACCTTTGGTCTAGTTTGTCAGAATCTGCTAATTTATGACAATGGTATAAACCAAACCAAGCCTCCAAGCTGGAAGATAAAAAACATCAGCTTACCCAAAAAGCTTCTGAAGCAGATCCACCAGCAGCTGGACTGCTGATGCCCTCCTGCGTCCCAGTATGATACAGGAGATGTCCCCACCGTGACAGAGGAGGAAGGATGAGCACTCTCACCATTGGCTAAGGAACTAATGCTTTTTCTCCTTTTTTGCTCATAGGTGCACAAATTAAGAGTTATGGGTTATGTAAGTCATGAAACCTTACAATCAGAATAGTGAACAAGTGAATTCACACGAGACTAGTCTAGGCAAAAGGGGATTGAGCCCCTGTTCATTTGTTGTATTTGTTAACGATCTCATGAAATACAGGTTAAATCACAGAGCATGTTGTCCTGTAAATACAAGAGATCCAAACGGACCATGACAGCCATTCTTACAGAATGGCTTGGTGACCCAAGTGTTTCAGAAGTCTTTTTAGGAAGATATGATGCAAGTATCCTTCTACAAGAAACAAACATTGCAGTGAACCATTACTTACTTCAGGGTCCAGTTTAAGATGCAGCCATTCATCTAGCTTCAGTAGTGCCAAATTAGCAGTTGTTTTGTCTTCCACCTCACTATCACTATCATCAGATACTCCATCCCCTGAATTAAATAAAAGGTGCATTAACATTTCCATATTATTTCCATGTACATACAAAAAACTGAACACTACTATATTACCAGAAACAAACTCATTTTCCTTCTAAGTTTTATTTTAAAATGTAAGCATTTGTAAAATCACTTTTTATTTTCTGAAAAAACACCTCAGTGAAAAGTCTTTGCTTCAGTAAGCAGAACTCAAGTATCCAGAGCTGCTGAAGGCCCTGCTATGTAAGCACCTGTATTGATGTGATCTGACTCATTCATGTACCTTTATCAATATCAGCAAGCCATTATAAAAGTTTTGTCTGAAGCTGTCTGCAAAACCACACATTGCTCTATGCTTTATTTCCTAGTAAAACAGCAGATTTAATGAAAAAAATTATGTACATGTATGGCTATTAAGCAGGATTGTAATTTTTTAAGTACAATTCAATAAGCATAAATACCATTTTAAGGGTAACAGTTTAAGAGTAAGACAGGAAAGCTTCAAAAATAACTTAGGCTCTTTGACTCAAAGTAATATTTCTAGAGAACTGGCAGCAGGATAGATTATTTTCACTTATATTCCTACAGTGCTCCATTAAATAAAAAAGAAGAAATTTCTATGTACTCCTTATTACTTCTACTTAACAGTGTATCTAATTGTCATTAAAATTTATCAGTAGAAAATAATTTTTTACATGCATGTTTCAGTTGGAAACAATAACAGAATTTAGAACCTGTCAATATGACAAAAAATTCTTCAGTTTGAATAAGATAGTTCAAAGTATCGAATAAACTACTCTGTAGAAAAAGCATACTACAATTTTCAGCATTAGTATTGTCATTAGACATTTTGGTTGCATTTTTTTATTTCATTACAAACTATACTATGTAAGTATAGTTTACGGATATGAATCTATGTGTATTCACAAAACTGAGACATTTGTTACATAGCCTATATACTATTCTTAAATAGCTCTGTCATTTTAAGAATTAGCCAATATACGTATTAATTACTATTGAAAAATAAGCCTTCCATATCACATACTAGTATATACCAACGGAAACATTCCAAATCCAAACCCCACTATACCTCGAAAGGATGAAGCTTCCTGCAAAGCATTACTTGGTAACCTAGCTGGCCCACAGAAGAGTGCCACAGTAACAGGTGTTACAACAGAACAGCATCTGATATTTGCTATTCTGTGAGCTCTTGTCATTTCATCATATATAAGCCAGTCTGTAGGGAGCGCGTGGATGGCTGCAGCTTGCCCATTTGCTGGGGGAATCTGTGCAAGAGCAAATAAGACTAGGCTATTTTGTCCTCTATTTGTAATTAAAATAAATGTTAACATATTTCTTATTTTATATATATGTAGAAGTAAATACATAAATATTTATATACAAATAAATTTATACACACAAATAAAAAAGCAAGAGAGAATTCAACCAGACTCACAAATTACCCTACCACCTTGAACCGGTATTTTGTTTTAAACAAAAATCTAAAAAAAAAAAAAATCTGTTTCAGAGCAGAACTTCTTCCTGCTATTAAAAGCACAGATTGTTACATCTTTAAAACAGTTTCATAACTAGGTTTTTTTAACATTGTGTCTCATTCCATGTAGAAGGAGGACTAACTGAAACCAGTTTTCATGAAATAATATTGGAAAAATAAACCAACTCGCATTCTTTATTTTATCTACTGCCAGAATAAATATTTTTTTTAATGTAGTGTTTAATGCCCATGCTGCTTTTAAAGTACTGACAACTATGAAAAGACATTTCTAAAATGTTTGATAGAGTACAGTGCTCTTTTTTGTGAAGTATAAATTAATAGTTATTTTACCTTTTTATAGTGAGGTTGACTAAGAACAGAGGTAGGATGAAATCGCACTTTCTTCTCCTTTGCTCCAGTCAAAACCAGGCTTTCTCTGTCTACATGCACTAGATTGGGATACATCCCAGCCACTAAGGCAGCCTTAACTACAGCCCAGTTTTCAGAGTTAGTATTAACATCTCTAATATCAGCTCCTCCTCTGGCTCTCACAAAACCTGAAGAAGAGGACAAAATTGTGTTATATTTGATTGCATTTAAGACTCACTTTTTTATTTCTCAAAAGGAACTTGAAAAAAAAAGTGAAATAAAGTACAAATTTGTTGTGTTTTTCCTCCACTGCCAACCTTAACAGCATCAAGAAGAAACTATTATACTGAAATCCTTCTTGATAAGGGGTTTTATACTAACACAGAATAGAATTACTTTTTACAACACAAAGACATTTCCTACAGAAATAATTTATTAGAACGCAAAAATCCAAGGAAACATATCTCACACTGAAAGACAGTGGCATGTTGAACACTCAGGCCACTTTCAGTTAGATCAGCTGTTCCCACGCCACACTTCCTCACTCTAGCATCTGCACCATGCCCAGATTAATGTGTACTGGTCTGTTTCAAATTAAGGAAGGAAAACTACACCAGGGAACACTATTCTTGTTACAATTTGTATACACGTGTACTATCTATACATTTGACTCCAAAACTATGTTAAATCTTTTTCCAAGCTATTTACCTGAGGCTCTAAGCTGGCCAAGCAACTGTGTTCTCATTCCTATAATGATTTCCATCGTGGCTTGAGACAGAAAGTTCTCTTCACAGAAGGCTCTCTCCCGGCCATCACTGCGTGCCTTCTGCCATGCCTGTGAAGAGTATTTTTACATTTGCCTATTAATTTTATTAGCTAAAATTTTACAATTTTTAGCTAATTGCACTTTAAAAAAAAAATTGCACTTTAAAAAAAAAGGCATTTACATCAATAAAACAAAGGCAAAAAACCACTCAGAGAAAGGAAATGTATCAAACTAGATTATTTTTTCTAGTTAAGTACTAGATTCTCTTTACCCATCCCCTACATTAACAAAACAATCATTATGTTAAGTTATTATAAAGATTATTATGTTACGATCATTATTTTAAGTTATCAGTGTAGCAGGATATAAAGTGGCATCTTTTTGGAACACTCACAATTTAACCAGGTTTGAGAATATAAGCAAAAAAATTACAAAATGTGTCCCCTCATAAATTTGTGAGTCCAAATATACAGGAGAGCCACTAGGCAAAAATAAATAAAGTTTCTTCTCTAAGGACTTAATCATAAGCGTTCTGCATCCAACTTGACTGGTAAAACACTTAAGTTGATATGCGATCTATTGTGATCAGTACTCTTTCTGAAGATGAAATAATACCTGGAAAACCCTCAGAAGAGCCATGTGGTCACTAAATGTTCCTGCAGTAAAACGTTTTCTACACAGCAACGCTGCCCGCTTTTGAGAGGCCAACGTAGGTAAGACAAAAGGGTCTCGATATGCAAGAGTGCAAGCAATAGTAAGAATAGGATCCAGGCACTTCAAAATAACAGCGCACAACACCATTTTACCAAGGTGTGGCTCTACTGGTAATTCAGTGAGATGATAACCAAGTTCAGTGAGATCTTCCCAAGGTTCCATGGCATCTATTGTCTGCTTTAAAAAAACATAAAAAAAAAGTAGGGGGCGGGGTGGGGGGATGGGGATGAAGGGAAAAATTGACAAAATTAATTTACCATTAAAGCAGAAAGGATGTGAATACTGAACATTAGACTTGTTCCTAAACACTAAAAAAGCCAGTCAAACTCTTAACAGTTTGAGATGAGATTTTTAAGTACTCTCCTCCCTAAGATGGAAAAATACACCTAAACACAAAATTAAAAGACAACACACAAAAACTCAAAGCCTCGCTAAGTAACTAAGTAACAGTACCAGTACAAACAAAACTCAGTAAGATATGTTGCCACATGACAAATACTGAATCAAATACAATTCCCATCTGTATCTATTCCTTTGCTGACCTTAAGCATTTGCACAGCATTTCTCACAATTAAAGCTGGTGGAGGATCAGGAGCTTTCATAAGAAAGTCAACAATTGGACAATTAATTGGAGCCAGAAGTTTTGTGTGTAAACAAAGTTCCTGTAAGTTAAAAAGGAAAAAAGATTGTTAAGATTCCGGGAAAGGAACACTTTTTTGGAGTAGTAATATGATTTGATGACAATACATTTTTAGAACTTATAATTTCTAACTGAACATGCACCTGAAGTGGCATTCTTAGAAGTTCTGGAGTCTGAAAATCCAACATATTCTGAAATCGGAGCCTGCTGAAGAGATGAAAACAGACTCCAGGCTTACAGCGCCCAGCCCTTGAAAATAAAATATGGAAAGTAGTTGAAAATTAGAATTTCTTAAAAATAAAAAAACCCCCACAAATACACACAAACTTAGAATGAAAATGCAGAAGCAGATCTAAGAAAAAGATAACTTTGTTGTTATGTGTAAGTCCCACACATTAGCTGAGAGTTTTCCAGTAAATACATTATCTTTGATGACATGGAAATCTGTTATTTTAATCTTACCCCACTGCAAGATCTAGACAAAAAAAAAAAAATAAGGCCTATCTAAAAATAGAGTGATGTGGGTTTTTTTACTAACCTAAGATCAATCCAAATCTAAACTGTCCTTTGCTGCAAGGAATGTAAGTCATAAACTTAACTTCTTCCTCTTCACATCCCCAAAACAGTTGGAACAACAATGATAAAGGCCGGATAAGTCATTAATCGTTTGGAGTTCAATAAGGAATCACTGCTCAATGTCTCTTCTAACACTGGGATAGAGAGGCATCAATTAAAAACTATCAACAGGCAACCCTCTGCCCACAGATAAATCATAAACACCTTATTGGACACTGTGGCTGCTAGAGCTACATGAGAGAAAGAGGAAGGAGAACAAGTCCATGGGGGGAAAACAACCTAGACCTAATGTAAGCTTTGGGAAATTCCTGAGTGTTACTTTTTACAACTTGGGAAATGACTCCAAGGAAATACATGCTGACCCTTGCTCTTCTGCAGAGAACTAGAATTGGCCATTGTCCAACATGATACTGGACCAGACTAGAAACATTACCCTGTGCAACTGCTATTACATTGTGTACTTTATCCTCAACAAACAGGACAGTGGATATTGGCAAAATAAAACTCAGGATGAAGCATTTATTACCTGCCTTTTCTCTGGATAGCACTGGCTTTTGAAATCCACACCATTTTTAGCATTGTAACACAACTCAGTGCATCAAAAGACTTCTATAAAAGCAAAGGAACATAGAAACAAGATCGAATAGGGTACCTGAAATACAAGTTACTAGTGATCTAGATCATCAACAGAAGTTCCCTAAAAAAAAAAATAATACTAAGCACCGGCAGCTTCTGCCACAAAGGTATGTTCTAAAATTATTAGTTTCAAGTGAATTCATGCTATCTCCTTCACAGTAACTTTGTGCTACGCCGTTTCCTAAATAAAAGTTTTCTAGTCATAGGCAATTGTAAGTCAATAAAAGACATTGTGTTTTGTGCTACCACAAACCAAGCAAAAATGTGTTGCTATTATAGGCAGTAAAGTTCTCCTTTGTCTCACTTGGAAATTATGTCCTTATTTTCCTACGTTTGATGCAACATTACAAAAAAATTTATTACCATGAGAACTTCATAAATTTGGTGTGCATATCGCATATGAAACCCAATGTTATTCTGTAAGCTAGGTCTTAAACAGCTGCCTTATGTTATTTCACTTTTCTTGAGCAAGTAATTAGGGAATGGCAATTCAACAGATCAAAAAAAATGCTTAAGACCTTAATGGATTAGATTTGAGCTAGATACAATATAGTAGCACAAAGTGAACTCCCAGTGTTATCTAAGTCTCAGGAAGATGGCAGTCTAAACTGATTGACTTGTTTCAAAAATCAAACAAATACTAAGTTTAAAAAAAAAGTCTATATATCCACCTGCAATAGCTTTTACAGAGTTTTTAAACAGATAGCTATTTTCAGTATTTGTCATAAAACAAATGGATGTCAAAACTTCTCAGTGAGTTTTGTTGCTTGACATGCACTAGCTTTCAGCCTACTATAAAAAATATTTCTCCAAAATTTATGTTTTATGTATTTTAAAATAATACTATGATGTTTACTTCCCAAAGAACGTTTAAGCCAACTGTACCTCTTTCATCTTGCCCGAGTCTATGACAAACACAACATCATTGACTGTTATGCTGGTTTCTGCAATATTAGTTGAAAGAATCTGCAATTAAACAGAAAGACAACTATAGTAACTGTAAAAGCAAAGACAAAATAGATCAATATAATACCTGAAGAAGTCCTCTGATACTTGCTATTTTGCGGACGCCAGAAGGTGGACTTTTAAGCACCTTCTTCTGATCCAAAGTCTGCATATTTGAATGAAGCATGAAAACTTGGTACCTAATGCAAGACAAAGAACACTTTTTAAGGATCTTTAAAAGAAACAATAAAAACTCAAGGCTATAATAGAAACTAGAGGTTTTTACCTGTGAGCATTATCAGCAAATCTCTTGTCATCAGAAAGAATACGGTCCCTCAGGCTAACTATCTCATCATATCCAGGAAGAAATACTAAAATTGCTCCTAAAAAAGAAGTTGGTTTGCAGAGTTCAACAGAAAATTCACTTCAAATATGTGTCAGTACTGAGTACACTGGCACTCTGAAGGTTTCACCTATTTGGTATTACTGAAAAAAGAGCACAACTCATGGGAAGCTGAATCTACAGCAATTTATTGGCAGTGTGTGTATATACGTACCAGCATCATAACTATGACAGATGTTATAAAGTAAGTGCATAATCAGGTCTAGATCCACTTTTTCATCATCAAAACTGTGATGATAAGCTTTTAACAGTTCTCTGTCCTCTGCACTAAGGTCACTACCACTTGTTTGGACCAGGGAACTTTCATCCAGATTTCCAAATTCCAGGGAAGAACTAAAACATACAAATACACAGGCCAGAGTCAAGGTTGTTAGCTTTGGGTTTGCATTCAGACATTCAATTCAAATTTAGACCAAGACCAACAAGACTACTCATCTCAAATTTTAATTTTAAAGCAGCAGAGCAGCACCTTCACACTACTATTACTGTTCACTGATTTACATGTTAACCCAGCAAAGCACGCAACTTCAATTTTTAGCATTAATTTTATTATGCTTCATTGAAACACAACCATAAGCAAATGTGACAGAACTTGAAGTATAAAGACATCATTTGTTTATCTGTTAAAGGAAAAATATTTAAAAGAAATGTATTTTCCAAAAACTTCCCTACCATAATACTTAAGCAGGTACTACACTAACAGAAACTATACAAAGAGAAATTACAATAATACAGGTCTCTACAAAACTGTAACTAAACTATGTTAACTGCAAGTTAATAAAAAAAACAATTCTTGAACAGCCTAGTGTACATGTTACTCATATAATGTTTCTTTAATATGGATGCCATTTATCGACAATACACAGATAAAAACACACAATAGATTTGTTTCCAAAATAAGCATCTGAAATTAAAATGGTACATGGTAAAGAAACAGCAGCTTCTCTGCATATTTATTTAGAATATAACAGGATAGACTACTTCAGTTGGAAGGAATCTACAATGATTAACTAGTTTAAGTTACTATACTCACATCCTGCCTATATACGTAATCATGATAGAAATGTCCATATCAAGATGATAAACACTAGTAATATAAAAGAAGTCCTACACCACTAAAACTATATTTATCCTAGGAGTTGTGAAACATAATCACTATGATACTGAATACAAATAAACTTCTTTTTAAATAACTCTGGTTTTGAAATATTCCTATTCTCAAATAAATCTTGCTATTTAGGCCAGATATTAAAACATAAAAGCTAAAAACTGTTCTGATTAAAAGAAGACAAAACAAATTCTCCTTCACCATGTAATAAAACAGTTTCTGCGAAGTAGTTATAGCTTACCTGTAAGACTCCAATAGGTCAACAACCTCTGTCTGTCCAAAGCGCTTAGCCCAGTCCACAGCCATCCTGAAAGAATTGCATAAAAATCTTTATTCATTTCTCACTTCAAAAGATACATATGAAAAGCATGTTAAATGAGAAGATGACACCACACTTTTCTGTCAATTTCTGCATTATTATTTAATCAGTACCATTATTGCTGCATCTGCAGCTTCCCATTTTAAAACATCAGATCCCTTGAATCCTAATTCTTACCTTTTCATATTGCAATTACATCGTATAGTCCCTGTTTACATGAAGATAAAATTCATGGCCACAAAAATCTGAACTTTCACAGATTCACAAATATTTTTGCATGATACAACATACTTACAGATATAACACAATACAGTCTTTACTCATGTAATAAACTATTTTTAAATTCAATATAGGTTACTCTCTTAAAATAAGAATCACCAAACATTTTTAATCTAATTCAAACAACCCAGCGAGGAAGTTTCCAATTTTTCTTCCAATCAGTCTGTTAAATCAGGCTCATTGAAACCAAGAGTGTATATCCCATATTCAAGACTGTTTAATTAGGAATTCAATTTAGAATTTACAGAAAACAATGTGATGAAGAGAAGTTAGAAACTGTTTAGACTGTTGAAACCTATTAGTGCTTACAGTAGTCTGATAAGTTAGTAAATTAGTTTAGATGTTATAGAAATTTCTTTCTCATTTTTATATTGATAAATATCTTTCAGTTTATCTGTTGTTTTTTACCAGCCATTGGATGACTTGCAGTGGATACTTGCTCCCATACCGATCAGTTGTTCTACTTGACTCAGAAAGCCTCTCCCTGAAGCAATCATTAGTGCAGTCACACTGGTTTCACTATGCCTATAGTCAACTGAGAAGAAAAAAAAATACCAAAAAACAAATACCAAAAAACAAATCAGCAAAATCAATGCAAATGTTATTTTTTCATCTAAATGTAGTATGAATATGACTTTCAAAACCTAGCCCAAAGAGAATGTTTCCTCACTTCATACCACCAGTCAGTTCACGTGAATTTAACACTATTTGAGAAACACAATATCTGTCAGTATTTCAAAACAAGTACAACAACAAACAACTCCAAAACTCATTAATTCTGCTAACCTATTCATTTTTTCAATAGGCATCATAATTCAAAGATAACAACACTTGAAAGATAACGCAGTCACAAAAATTCAAGCAGTTTTCTGGTCGTTTTTTCTTGTGTAATTAAGACGAGAAACTTACCACTGACATTTTCAGTTAAAATGAGATGGAACACCTGAGCAAAGGAATCAACATCTTTATGTAACCAGATGTCAGAAAGACAAGAATCCATTTCTTTTATTAGCCATGGCTCAAGGCAATTCCCATCTTTCTCAGTCTGAAGAGAAAAAACAGTACTGAAAGATGAATCTCTTCAAAAAGTTGTCTTTATTCTCATATATTAGACACAAAGAAATCGAAGTTAGTTTTCCAAGTAACAACAAGAAATACAGCATTCAGATATCAGTTAAAGCACTTATTTTATCATATGCAAGTACTTTAAGCAATAGCAGCCTAGGTGTTTGATCTAAACAAAAGTTATTTACAACCATAACTGAAAAGCACACTTTAGCTAGGGTAGTTCAAGCTAATAAAAGAAAAAAAAGTCAATGTTTTAAAACATGTTAATATCCTTCTATAAACTCTACAGGAGTAATATATTTAAAAAATAGTTTTTAAATGGGTAGTAACAATAACACAGATTTAAAGATCTCTTCCAACTAAACAAAAAGTTTACCAGTTGATTAAATACTGTGTCACCACCATCATCCAACAGATTACACTCCTCAGTTGCACTTGGGACAGATCTTTGTCTCGGAGATTTCGTTTTGATATTATTTTCTTGAGCAGAACACCACTCTGTAAGAGTGCTTTGCTGGTTTTCTTCTAGAATGCATAAAGTATTTCCAAAAAAAAGTTTTACACATCTTAATTATCCATTGTTTCCAGCTACAAAAAACAGTTACATGAAGTCACAAAGTTTTACCTATTCAATATCTTATTTAATCTAGAACACCGTTACCAGTCCAATACAAATTCCATGATTAAGGATGCCCAAAGTGCACCATTGCAAACACTTGCTACAAGAACAAGGTAAAAATTACCATTTGGGTGCTAAAGCCCCCTAGGTCTCCAGTATTCCAACTTACTAAATTCAAACGAGCTTCCCAAGTACTTTCTACACAATTCTCAGTCTAGATCTTTATCCAAAAGTGGCAACAAAGAGAAGTGATATAGCTCCTGCATATAACAACTAATTTTTGCATACAAGTAGGAGAAACAGTAGAGACACCAGGGCCTTAACTGAACTTTTCTATCCACAGTGATCAGAGCTGAGCACCATGACAAACATAAAGTTAGGATTGTATGTTATAGCTTTGGGGTTTTTTTTTGTTTTTGTTTTTTGTTGTTGTTGTTGTTTTTTAATACACAGTAGGGTCATTACTTTCAGTTGTCAGGAAAATTTCTCAAATAATATATCTACTTAACCAATTGAAAAATAACCATATTAAGCTCAAGTGTGTTAATGCTTCTGGACTATATATATACTAAATACATCCATGTCTGCAGAATGCAGTGAAAAATGTTACTAATAGGAACCATTTTTGTGCAAGACATACAAAATCCTTCCCTTTTTAATGGCTGCATTTTAATTTGCATCCAAAAGTCAGCACGTATCTTCTGCAGTCTTCTGCGGGCAAAGCCCCCAGCTATGTGCAATTCTACTCCATAATAATCAGGAAAAATACAACATTTATCAACTGAAGGCAAAAAGAATGTAACCATTGAAAGAAAGTTAATTTTTTTTTAAAGTTACATAATCTACTTCAATAATGTAAACACTGAGAGCTTAAAGACACTCGCTGTCATCTAACCATGTCTCATTTGATATTCTGACTTTGGAATTTTAACTGAGAATGATCCTATTTATTTGTTCAATCAATCAATCAATGAGACTCAATGCCAACCCTAAAAACTAAGAAGTCCACCAACCTCGCTGTTTCTCTTTTTTGTACTTTACCATCTCTTTGTTTGTATACCCAGTGCTTCGTAAAATGTCCTCCAAAAACATCTCTTTAACTTCAAAGGGTCTTCCTTGTACTGTAAGTATAAATAATTCATAAAATATTATATATTCCCTAGGTTCATTCATAATCTTAATTTTAAAATAGCTTTTTTTGTAGACACAAAAAGTAAATGAAAAATTATGATGGCTTCATTTAAGAAATTATTACTTTCCTTGAAAAATCTTGTAAGAGTATATTCACTGGAGTTTATTTTCTTAAGATTACTGGGCCACAAAACAAGATTTCAAATGGGAAATGTCAGCTGGGTACCATTTTTCTCATTAACCTCTTCAATTCTCTTGGACCGTTATAGCAAGAGATGCATGCAATTGACAGTTACTCATTGCAATCTTAACAAAACTAGAAAAAAGAAAATAGCCATTTTTGTTTAAGGTTAAAGAAAAGAATTCACAGTGTAAGACTGCCACCTCGATTACAAAATATAACAGCAATTAATACAGCTTTAGTGCAAGACCCCACAAGCAGATTGCCACCCTTGTATTAAACTTTTTTCCTTCTCACTTTCCTCGACCACTACAGCCAAAACTGTCTTTCTTTACTGAATACTTCCTGATAAATGAGACATTCCAAATGGTCTTTATCACCTAATAATGTTTTTTTTTTTCAATATAATTGTTTTCTAAACCTTATTTATGGACATTAAAGTATTCTATTCCACATGAAGAACTGAAATATCTCAATTTCAATTTCTGGGCCCTTAGCAAACATTTGCCACACATGAATTTAAATAATTTAGGACATTTCTCTTCTTCACAGAGAACAAGCTAGTGTTCACATACTTTTGGAACCTGTCGTGGAGGAAGTCTTCCAACACTCATCACAAACTCTGTGTACTACAGAAACCCAGAACTACAAAATATTAGTTTCTGTGGTCAGGATTTTGTCTGCCATATTGTTAAAGGAGGATCAAACCTTTTTCATTACATTAACAAAGTATCTAAACCTTCTTCTTTTAACTCTTAAATTCCCAAAAATGGAAAAAGACACTTTCCATGTCTTTTCAACTGTGATTAGCCTGGGAAGACTAGTATGCGATAACAGTATAACCACCGAGGTAAACTGGAGAAAGAGACTGTCATCAGAATTTCCTGAATTAACATATTGATCTAAATGAACAGGAAGCTACCAGAACAGTAAACTAGAAAGCCACATAACTATTGCGACTGAGGTTTCCTCTCTCAAAAAAAAAAAATTTAAAAAAATCTGAAAATCACTGAAATAATGTATAATTTCCAGACTCCTGCCTCCAACAAGTTGCAAGCCTTATTTTACTAGGGAGAAATTCAGAATTGGGAACTATAAATAAACATGTCTATCTGTGAAAAAAATAGATTTATTTCTCAGGAACATTCACTAAAAGAAATCAATGATTTGTAGACAGGATTCTAAAGAAAGTGATTCTACCTCTGTCCTGGGACTGTCAAGCTCCTTAAAAAAAGGTTGACATGCAGACAATCTACTTGATTGTTTTGAAAAGAAAGCATTTATCTTAAAAGCTTCTCTTCTTAGACATCATTGTTGAAAAAGGAAGAGGACTGCAAAGTGACTGAGGAAGTCATCCACGCAGAAAACTTGCAAGCCAGGAGGGTAATGAGAAAAAAAAAAAAAAAGCACCTCCCACACATCCATGTTTTACCTCTACTAAAGATCAGTCAAATTAAATTAAAACAATAATGATATCTTTTTCTTCGCATTTGAATGTAATCTAACTGCAAGTTACTGAGCCTGAACATAACATAGCTTGCCATGTCTTTTCTCAATGTTTACCTAGATTAACAGCTAATAATCTCCTTCAAAATAAAGGATCATGTGATTAAAAAATGAAAATCCCTTTGGCCTAGGACTGTATTTCTGAAGAGACCAGGCCTGAAGAACTAGAATCTACTGGAATGAATCAAATATACATCACACTCTTGCAGATCCTAGGGTCTGTATCACCATGGAGATCAGCACTTTAAGAACCTTTTCCTGCTCCTTGAACTGAACATGGCAGGGGCCAGAACATCCCTGCACTTATAGAACTACCTGTGATAAAAACTCTTTACTCTGAAGTAGGTGCAAGTAGTTAAGAAACAACAAAAATGAACAAAGAACAAGCACTGCTGTAACTCTCAAGTGTATTTATCATATTCCCTTACTAAGAATGGTTTGCTAGTTTAATAAAATCTGCAAGTCCTAGGGCAAGTACACTCAGATTTAAGAGCTTACATAAACACTTACTGTGTATTACTGGGCAACTTCCAAAATACCTAATAAAGAGATTTGCATCTAGAGCAGCACTTGAAATAATTAGTTTTAAATTAGGCTGGTCTTGCAACACATCTCTCAGTTTTATTAACAAGAAGTCACTGAATCTATCCCTCTCATGCACTTCATCCTGTAACAAAAGAAAAAAACATAAACATCACAGATCCAAGACTGTAACTTTTCACAAATATGAACTTGTTTAAAAATTAAAATACCTAATTTGCTGGTACATTACAGATGCATTAAAGTGTGTAAGTCCAGTTTAAGTAAAGATTTTTTTGAAACTATCCAAAAGTCAAAAAATATGTGAAGAAGTTTCATAAAGATATCAGAGCAGCCTGCTCTGTTAATGCACAAGCCACATTTACCTTGACTTCAGATGTTAAAGTGAACTTCTGAAACTTTTCTAATTCTTATATCTGAATCTCATTTTCAAGATGACACAAATCGCAAATCCTACAAATATATTAGTAAATTCTCACTTCACAATTGATGAGCATTTACAGAAATGTATGATACCTCATAACAAGAAAAAGGTTAAATTGCTTAGATCCATTAAGTCATGCACAAAGCTTATCATAAATTAAGGAACATGATTGATTAATCATCTTTGTTGATGTGTTCTTCTATTTCGTTTTGTATTATGAACGTAGGAAGCAGGGACCCAAATACAATATTTTTAGGCTGAAGTCAAGAGTATATATAAATCATTCTCACACTTTTTTCTATTTTGACAAACAGGCAGGCACCTAAAATTATAATGAATTTTTCTGTTTTCAGCAGTAGAGAACTTAATCTTGCAATAAACATTCTGGTTCCACTGACTTATCAAACTCCACAATAGGAATATTCACATAATCATAAGCACACACATTTAAATAATGTGCTGAAAATAAGACTACTCATCATCTTGAAAACATTGAGGCAAACAAATGGACTGCAAGTCTGGTATTGCTACAACAAGTATGTGATATTAGAAATTCTGACACACATACATGGAATGATATCTACACAAGCCTCCCCAAGGCTTTCTGACAGGAAGTTCAGTAAAATTCAGAGCTCTGTCCTCACAACTGCATCATTATTCTAAAATTAATTATTGGCATGAACCTAAAGTAACATAATTCTACACAAAAAAACCCCACACCATAAAAATATACATGCTACAACAAAAACTCTGTAAGTCTTCAACGTTAATTCAGATTCGAACTAAACAAAAACCCCTAAATGCTCAGCAAATTAAGAAAACTAGGGTGTCATCTTCCAATTAACAAGTAATACATATTGCTCCAGCTTACATGAAATACAATAGGACTCTTACCACAATAACATGTGTCACTGTCCATAAAGTGCTGTCTCCTGCCATTAGCGTGCGAAGTAGCATGCCATTAGTGCAAAATGTTAACAGTGTCTTTGGAGAAACCCTATTGAACAGTTCATAAAGGTACTTCAGTCTTTTGTATCATTTAAATGCATGTTAGCTTTCCACTACTTAATAAAAATTAAAAGATTGAACAGTTGCTCACCAGAAGTGGAATTAATTATAGTCCTCACCAAATAATTCATGCATACTATTTGTTTTTAAAGTATGCTTATTCCCAGAAAGTTCCTAAGGAATCTTAGCGTTTATGCTCCAAAACTTTAGACAACAGATTAAGTAACAAAGTGAGATTTACATTTATGTAAGTAAATAAGCAAGTGAAACAGAACCTTGAGAACCTCTCCGTGCTGTTTAATTTACTGAATAATTCAGTGTGGACTGCTTTGGAAAAAACAGATTCCAATTCTTCAGCATATGCTTGAATTAGTCTTTGTATTTGCCTACTCGTGTCTGATTCACAAAGAAATCGGCTGATCCTTTTCAAATGCTTCAATTTTTCTCTTCAAGAATTTTTATATCTTTAAAAGTTCTTCTAGTACTTGTGGCAGAGTTAGCTATACAAGTAAAAACAGCAATTGCTGCTACTTTCTCCAGCACCGCCACCTTAAGTACTGAAAAGTTCCTTTGTATCATACTCTACAGTTCTTTTCTGGAAGACACGAGCTAACTAGTTATCACGTGTGTATTTCTTTCCAAGTTTGGAATTCATCCCTCATTTAAAAAAAAATCCACCCACATATTAAATTCAAAGAAGACAAGCAAGATGGAAATGCTTTATTTTACCCATCTCTATTCCCCTCTCTTCTTCAGCAACCTTCTAGAAATCATCACTGCTGCCTAACAGTTAATAAAACTTAAAAAAATTAGACTCCTGTGTTACTGTAAACACCTTCATCCACATCACCTTTTTTGCCCAGAGTAGGAAATATTGCCATCTGACCCTTTTATTCTTTCTCTTGAGAGAATCTATTACACTTCTTAAGCAGGATTTTCCACACTGCTTCCAACAATTCTTACATTTTGATCTGACCTGTACTTTCTTCTTCTTCAGCCAGCACAGTACTTCCACACATTAATAACACACCTTATTTGCAATTCATCTTTACTAGCTCTTTTAATCCTTTAATAGTCTTGTGAGCTTTGGTACACATATTCAAATTCTTCTTTAACTTGGCTTTGTTATTCAAATGCATTCACTTTCATTAGCTATGGGATACCTTCATCCATACAAGCAACATAAGCTACCTTTCTTCTCACCAATACCTCAACTGCCGCTCCTTCCTGGAACTCCCACTATGTACACAGTTCAAATAATCTAGAAACCACACAAAATCTTCAGACTTCCTGCTCTGCTTTAGGAACAAATTCCTCAGGTGACCTAGAAATCCCTACTTTTGTATCACTTCATGCTTTACACATAGAAGCTGAAGCAGAGTAAATTTAACCCAAACTAGATTGGTAAATAATGCTCAGCTTCACCATTCACTTCCAAATCTTGTTTATTTTCCTTTCATGTCCCCTATTAACTCTCACTATATAGCATTTGTTACAGCGTATTGGTCTTCCTACCCATCTTAAAGGTCGTAGAACTTTTGGATCTATATATGTTAAAAGTCGGGAGAAAAAGAAAGGACAGAGTAGACTTGATCTGAAAATAAAATAAGGAATTCCAAACACACCCGCAAGGAGAAATCAAGAGAAAGCACCTGCAATTCACTTACATAAAGAAAACTCACTACATGAAACTGCAAAATACAGGACAAAAACTCTCTTCTTCACTTGTAAATAGTCTATTACCTGCTTTTACATGCTGAGCTTTCAGTAGGCTCTGTACCAAATATACTGTACTTTAAAAGTACACAAGACACAAGATCAATTGACTTTAAGAAATATCATTAATACCTGCTTTCTAATCGGATCTGATAACCAACTGTCTGGCCAATCTTTTCTCTTCTTTCTGCTGCCACTCTTTCAGCCACAGCAACAGCTGCCAAACGTCTTGGCTGAGTGCAAAATATCCGACAGGGAGTTCCATTTTTGTAACAGTCATCAAGAAGGAACTGAGGGATCTGTAAAAAAGCAGTTTAAATTTACTTCTTAGTTTGATAATGTCATAGCTTTTTCATCATGGTGAAACAACTTAACTGCATCTCAATATCACACAGGTTGCAAAAGAATGCACATTAAGATTATCATGACAAACATACTTGAAGGGGCAGAAAGGAAGCAAAAATACATTTCTGATTTTAAGTTTCATGTTAAAAAAAAAAACTTGAAGCTTCTCTCTCCTGCTTCAGAGAAAGCTATAAAGAAATACCTATAGGTAATATTTTGTTTTAAAACAGTAATATTCTACTCTAGAACTAGCTTTAGAAGGACAAAGGCTATTCAAAATAATATTCAATATTTTGTATTATTTTCAGTATTCTATATTCTTCAATGTTTTATTTTAACGAAAAACAGCATCTATGAGAAAACCGTGCAGAACCATTCATACTTTCAGTAAGTATCTGCTGGCTTAGTACTTTAAGGGCAAGAAAGTTAATTAGAACTCAAGACTTCTGAGTACATAGGAAAACAAAAGCCTTAAAACTAGCATAAAGAAATCCCTTATCACATAAATATTACAAAATCAGCATGAGTTTTCCATAATAATATTTTTTTATTTCATTAAACATACTTGAGTAGTTTTTCCTGATCCAGTCTCTCCTACAATCAAAACAACTTTATTGTCCTTTATTATTCTGACAATTTCTTCCTGTTTTTCAAAAACTGGCAGTGACTGTCTGAAGGAATCAAACTCCGATTCTCCTCTTTTCACTGGAACCTGGGGGATACCATTGTTAAGTCGTCCTCTTGCCTTGTTCAGTTCTCTGTTTTCTATGAAGAGAAGTTAAGAATTTACTTGGACAGGTACAAAACAAGGTCACTAAAACACTGCTTAAAAATCATACATAAAAATGAAAATTAACTTTGTATGCATCCCTATAGATAAAGTGACAAAACCATCACACGTTTAAAAGCCATATTCATAGCAATTCCTCTTGTCACAGTGCTTGAAATATTGTTCAAAGCAGTTAATTCCTTTCATAGATATTTTCAACAAAAACAGACAGTCTCAGTGATAGTTGCATCGCTGAGCAAGGACCTACAGCTTAAACTGAAGGAAAAGAGGGAAGTACAGGAAGAGGAAGCAGGGTTGTATAACCTGGGAAGAATACAGGGGCGTTTTCTGGATGTGCAGAGATAGCATCAGGAAAGCCAAGGCACAGATGGAGCTGAACTTGACAAGGGACATGAAAAGTAACAAGAAGGGGTTCTACAGGTACATAGGCAGGAGGAGACAGGCCAAGGAGAGTGTTCCCCCTCTGATAAATGAGAAAGGAGAACTGGCTTCCTCAGACATGGAAAAAGCTGAGGTACTCAATAAGTGCTTTGCCTCAGTCTTCACTGGTGGTCAGGCTTCCCATGTCTGTCAGGACCCTGAACCTCTAGGTGAGGGTGAGAGGAGCAGAATCCCTCCCACTATAACAGCGGAACAGGTCCGAGACCGCCTCATGACACTGAATGCATATAAGTCTGTGGGGCCAGATGATGTACATCCCAGGGTTCTGAAAGAGCTGGCTGATGTGGTTGCCGAGCCACTCTCCCTCATATTAAGCCACTCTCCATCATATTTGAAAAATCATGGCTGCCAGGTGAAGTCCGCAGTGACTGGAAAAAGGGAAGCATTACTCTGGTTTTTAAGAAAGGGTGAAAAGAAGACCCAGGGAACTACGGGCCGGTGAGCCTCACCTCTGTGCCTGGGAAGATCATGGAGCAGATCCTCCTACCTCCTAGAAGCCTCATTAAGCCATGCATGAGACCAAGAAGTGATCTGAGACAGACAACATGGCTTCACCAAAGGCAGATCTTTGCCTGACCAATCTGGTGGCCTTCTATGATGGAGTGACGGCATTGGTGGACAAAGGAAGGGCGACGGATGTAATATACCTGGACTTCTGCAAAGCCTTTGACATGGTCCCTCACCAAATCATTCTCTCTAAACTGGAGAGATATGGATTTGAATGATGGACTGTTCAATGGATAAAGAATTGGTTGTCTGGTCTCAACCAAAGGGTTGTGGTCAACCTGGGTGGAGGAGTGTTATCTGTTTGCCTATGGTGTAGAAAATTGCTGTTCTTTATAAAGTGGTGTAATCTCATGAAGGGTGTTGAAGGTAAAGGAAGTCACGTGTCAGAACCAAGGGGGACTGGAAATGTCTGGGTGGAGGCTGGTCACAAGTGGTGTCCCTCAAGGGTCTGTCTTGGGACTGGTGCGCTTCAACATCTTTATCAATGACATAGACAATGGAATCGAGTGCACCCTCAGCAAATTTGCAGATGACACCAAGCTGAGCGGTGCAGTAGATACAACAGAGGGAAGGAATGCCATCCAGAGGGACCTGGACAGGCTGGAGAAGTGGGCCCATAAGAACCTAATGAGGTTCAACAAGGCCAAGTGCAAGGTGGTGCACTTGGGCCAGGGCAATCCCAGGATCTTATATAGACTGGGAGAAGAACTCCTTGAGAGCAGCCCAGTGGGGAAGTACTTGGGGGTCCTGGTGGACAGGACTATCTATGAGCCAGCAGTGTGCGCTTGCTGCCCAGAAGGCCAACTATGTCCAGGGCTGCATTAAAAAAAAGGGATGGCCAGCAGGGAGAGGGTGATTGTCCTCCTCTGCTCTGCTCTTGTGAGACCCCATCAGCACAAGAAAGACGTGGAGCTCTTGCAATGGGTGCAGAGGAGCGCCACAAAGATGATCACAGCGCTGGAGCACCTCTCCTATGAAGAAAGGTTGAGGGAACTGGGCTTGTTTAGCTTGGAGAAGAGAAGGCTCTGGGGAGACCTCATTGTGGCCTTCCAGTACTTGAAGGGAGCTATAAACAGGAGGGGGAGCGACTGTTTACAGGGGTTGATAGTGACAGGACGAGGTGGAATGGTTTTAAACTAAGAGAGGGGAGATTTAGGTTGGATATAAGGAGAAAGTTTTTCACTCAGAGGATGGTGAGACACTGGAACAGGCTGCCCAAAGAAGCTATGGATGCCCCATCTCTGGAGGCATTCAAGGCCAGGCTGGATGGGGGCCCGGGCAGCCCGC